CCTTTCCTTTTGGCACCCTTCTACCTAAAAAACTCTAATAAGTGGTGATGGAGTCTCTAGCAAAAAAAAAATTCTATTTAAAAAGTCTGGTCCAGCATGAAGTCACCACTTTTTCTTTTCTCTGAGCCCTGCTGAGTCTAGTCATAACTCGATTTCTGGTGACTAATAGAAGAGCTGGGACGCTATTGTTTCTTTTGGCTTCTTGAGCAACTCTCGCCCGTTACCTCCCCTCAACTGGGGACATCTAAAGCTATAAGATGTGCTCGAGCTGAGGAAAGAGGCTGAAGCGCTAATTGCTCTTTTGTGTCGTGCCTTGGTTTGTGCTCGGTTGCGATGGGCTTTTTTTAAACTGAATTCCTTTTCAGAGCATGGGTTTTTTAAAAAAAGAACAAACTAAAAGAGGGTCGTGAAGTTTCAGCCTGTGTAGCAAATGGGACAAGTCCCGAACCGACGCCTTGGTGGTGACCTCCATCTCCAAGCGGAGGTGGCTCAGCCGTGGTCACCTGCAGGAACCTGGAAGCGGACGTATCTCAGCACCGTGCTGTAGCGACCGACCTGACTGCGGAAGGGTCCACCCTGGCTGAAGCATTCTTGGCTCCCGTCGCTTTTCCCCATCCGTAGCGAGTGATCTCACTTGCCAACTCTTGGAGTTATTGGGAGATAAATATTTCTTGGGGGCACCCAGCTTTGGCTACAGCCTCCCTATTCACAGGAGGCGTGCAGTTTGTAAAATAGCTGCATGAAAAATCGCCTACTCGTTCTTTTTCAGTACGTTCTCCTCCTTTCTAGCCTTAACTTGTTGGACTAGCAAGAGCCTTAGGGACACTTAACTAGTCTTTTGTGGTTTATTTCCTTTCAAATGCATTCAGAAGGACATGTTTCTCTGACAAGAATGAATCGGGACAGCTGTGTGTAGTGAGAATATTAAGCAAATCATTAACAGAATTGCTTTAGAATACAGCCTGATCAGCAAGACTTGGGGACAAGCATAAATAACGCAATGACTTTGGAGAGCGCAATGGATGGAGTTTGCATTCCTTGGCCCCCACTGGCAGGATCTGCGATTTGCTCCTGACGGTGGCTGCGGGCAGGAGGAGGCAGAGGGAGAATCCCTTCTCTCTGCAGAAACCCCCTGCATTGCTGTCGAGTTCCCTCTATGGCAAGCGCCTGGGGTAGGGGAGGAGAGGACAGGGAGGGGTTCCTGCAATGGAAGGTGTCAGTGGGCTTTTTCTGATGCTCACGTTACTCCAGATCCTGAGATCGGTGTTGGTGAGTTGGACATGGAGTTGGAGTTGGACATGGAGTTGGAGAGCAGAGAATACCTTGGCCCTGAGAGCCATGTTTATCCCTGGGATGAGCAGGCGGATCACCACTCCTGTAGCAGCCATGGGGAGTCTTTATACTTGAAACCCTTTGGCCCCTCTAGCAACAAGTTGTCATTAATGAAGTGCAGGTTACCTAGGCTGTAGTATAGCTGCTTCTGTCTGATGCTTCTCCAGATGGTGCCCCACCATCTTGGTCTTCCCCTTAACCAGAGCCAAAAAGGGCTGGAAGCAGCTCGGGAGGGTGAGGAGGATGCAGATGAGAGGTTTTAACAAACTCCAGCAGGACCAGGGCCTTGCTCCAGTCTTTCCCTCTGATGTCTTTGAATTTTGATGTGTCTCAGTTCCTAGTCAGGTTGAGAAGGAGGTGCTTCGTTTATAGACAAATGTATCTGAGACAGTGGACGTGAAAGCAGTCACCAAATGCTTCCCGTGTGCCAGCCTTCCTCCCCAGTCGTCCTTGCTGGCTCTGCTCTTACCTACGTGCCTTGGCTCTGCTGCCCAGTTTTCGGCTGGACTCCAGCTGCAGAAATGCAGCACGCAGCTATTCGGTATATAATGCATCGTCTGAAACCTTCTCCTTCCCAAGCTCCTCTGTGGAGACGATTTCTAAGGAACCCAGCTTGGCTCTTACTTAGAGAATTCCCTTCAGTAAAGGCTTTAGGTCATGGCTCCCTACCCAAAACCACTCGGCCTTTGCTTCCCTCCAGCACCTTTCTCACCCAGGTAAGCGGTTGTGGACTCCCTGACACCCCCTGTCCCCATCAGGGGACTTGGCATCATCCTTCCACCTCCCGAGCAACGTCAGGTGCTTAGAAGAGGGCACCTGAGCTGCCTGGGGAGGGACATGAGCAAAGGGCGTCAGCTCATTCGTGTTTTTTCCCCTCTTCCCAGTAAGAGTTGTAGTGTGGGGGGGGAGGGTCCTTCCCACTCGCTGCAGGCTGGTGGTACCAGCTCTGGCTCCCATCCTGGCCCAGGCTTTGGGGAAAGGGAAAGCTGTGCTTCGTGGCTGCACCCACTTAGAAACCTGACCCCCGTTCACCCACACCATGTTCATCACTCTCGGGCTGTGAGGAAGCCTTTCGGACTCCTCAGCAAAAGCGTAACGGGAGAGGAGTTGTGTGAAGAGAGACACGACTCCCCCCTTTACCGGTTAGAGCAGCACAGTGACACACTGATGCTGTTTTGTGCTTCGACATCTTTATTCAAGATCTTTATTCACTATCTGTATATAAAATATACATAATGTATATAAATTAGGATGTAAGTTTATGTAAATTGTCAATATTTTCTTTGCAAATAAAGCTTTTTCCTGATCTCGGTGTTCTCGGTGGGACTTCCTTCCCCAGCCAAACCAGGAGTTTCTGTGGAAAGTCTGTAAAACTACAGCAGAGTATGTTGACTGCTCTTGTGCGATGGGTCGCAGCTGGAGGGCAAAGACCCCTCTGTCCTTCGGGGAGTACTCGGGAGGCAGCTGCTGCAGCCGCCGCTGCTGCGAGAGGCACCGGTCCCTCGTCAGACTCGGAGCTGCTCTCTGCACTTGGGGAAAGGACGGAAAACAGCATTTCTGTCACCACTTGTTGGGAAAGATGTATGGAGTTGATGTACTGAGATAACTCAACGCCCAGGATGGGTGCAAGTGTCTGTCACCCTGCAATACGGCCGTGGTGGGCTGCTGGCTTTATCCCCTTTTCTACCAAGCTGCTGTCCTGCTGCTCATTCCTCCCATCCTTTGGAGACTTCTCCTGGGAAAGCCTCAGCTGGAACAGAGGCATCTCTCTTTAACAGACCCCTCTGGAGACCTGGGAGCCAACCAGGAGGCCAGGAGTGGCAGGAAGCACGAGATGCCCGTGCAAGATGCCAATCTCTTCCCGTTTGTGCTGCGTGGTTCGCTCTGCCTTTGGCACCGTCCGTGAAAAGCTTCTCGGTATTCGCAGGGTTCCTTGGATGGCTCTTGGTCCGCGCCCGGCCGGCTCTGCCCGGCACTCCTGCAAAGGGAGTTCACCGCCTTGGGATACAAATGCCCAGGGATTCTCCACAGAAGTCCCTGATCAAAATCAAGGGACTTTCAGCTGATTTCATCGGCCGTGCCCGCTGTGCAGACCCATGCCCAGCAATTCGGGATGGAGGGAGGAGAGGGCCGGGGTTCCCCAGGCGAGGCGGTGCCGGGGGCTGGAGCGTGGTGCGGTTCCTCCCCTGCACCGCCTTCCGCTTTCGGGGCTCCGTGCTCGGCTGCTGGTGGGAGATGAGGGACGCTGGAGGCGAAGGTTCATCCAGAGGTCGGTGTTTCCCTGGCTGGAGCCTGCAGGATTTCACATCTGCACAGATGTGCTCTCCTCACCACGCCTCCAAAAACAACGGCGGGCTGTTTGCTCACAGCTGCTTCTGGCCATGGCTGCGGCCGGAGTCCAGGTCCAGCGTGGTGGGCAGAGAGGGCATCGGCCTAAAACACCAGCCCTGGCCTCGGGCCGGCTGGCTGTCACCGCTGCCATGCCTGCCCTGGCAGGCTGGTGACATTGTTCTGGCTCCAGGCTGAACCAGAACCCCAAGGTGACAAAGTGCTCCCCACCACGCCAGCACTGTCAGGAGGGCGAGGGGCAAGAGCAGCAGCAGCTAGCCTGCTTCATCTTCCAGATGGGTACGTCTGTGTGTGTGTATTTATACATTTTATGGGTATGTAAATTGTGTTTTTTCCTGCCAGGCACATCTAGGAGTAGAGCTGTTCCTCTACAGCTAAAACCACAGCAAAACACATCCTTGGGCAACTGTGCAGCAGCCTGGAGGTGCTTCTTAGGAGGGGAAGGAAATGGCCACAGCAAGCCAAAAACCCCAAAAATGTGCATTTTGCAGAACACCCTGTGAAGCATGCGGGGAGCATGTCCCCCGAGTGTGTCACTGCTAGGTGGCATGGGGTCGTGGAGATGTCACCACAAAAATTCCCTGTGAGTGGAATGCAGCTCTGGGAGCCCAGATACTACCTGGAGCTGCTGCAGGGAAAGTCCCTGTCTGGTTCCTGCCCTGGGTGAGGAGGTGACCCAGCAGCCGTCCGCCGGAGCTGGCAGGGACACGGGGAAGTGGCAGCGAGGAGCCCAGCACTTGCAGCACAGCGGGCTCCTGGGGAGGAGGAGGAGGAGGGGGATGCCAGCTCAGGACATCCTGCTGGGAATGGGTAGTGAACTCCAGGGAGCTGAGCGTCCCCATGGCTGGGCTGTGGCTACACGGGAAGGGGAATTTGCTCTGCCTTCACGCGCTGAGCTCACCTTGGCACCAGCTGCCCATCGAGAGCTGGCACGGGGAATGGTTTGTCGCTGGTACAGGGGAGAGGAAGCCAGAAGAAGAACAAGTACAAGAAGGGGAACTCCCCCAAAACCTCTCTGCTTTCCCAAGGATCACCTCTGCCTCCTGCCGTTTAATTTCCGCAGGGTGTCCAGCCGATCACCTGAGCACCGGTGCAGCCCTGCCT